AGTGGATTCTTTATCAACTGAGCTATCAGGGACACCCACTCTAGAACCTTAGTGAGCTTCAAAGAAAAAAAAAAATCGGAGGGGGTGTTCTAAGACTTGAAACTATACTTTCCAAGCTAACCTGTGTTTCTTTTGTTAGGTATTTGAAATGATCGTTAATCCTGGAGATAATATCCTTGTAAATGAACCTATTTATTCAGGAACACTTCATGCTGTGAGTACATATTCTTACAAAAGGCAAGTCTCTTTCTTATAATAAAGAAGGAGAAACCACTGCACCTTTAGAATTATCTGCCCACTAAAAAATAAAATAGCATCTTTCTTTTGTAAAGAATAGAAGTTTTAGTATAAGGAATATATGCTAAACATACCCTCTGATTTATACATTTTTTTTGACAAAATCTAAATGTAGATGTGCTAAAATTCAGTCGGGCAAAATCATGTCCCATTTTCTTAGTATTTCACTTGAAAAGCATCTTAATTTACAAAGACATTTTTCATTATCGTCTATATTACCACATGTCTAAGACAAATCATGTCGATGTAATATAACTAAACCTGTCAGTATGAGCAGGACTTTCACATCCAGTATTTATTATAAGACTCTAGACCCAGAATGAGGAAGTGGTCACCTGCTCTGCCAGGCCCTGGTCAGAACTCAGCACTGTCTGGGGCACAATATTCCTGGGTTGATGTGAACACAGCCTGGAGCACAGTCAGAGAGAAGCAACCGGAGTAACAAAGAATTAGAAATGAGACCATACGTTGAATGCTTTTAGGAACTCTGCTCTTTTCCGCAGAAAGAGAAGATCCATGGGAACATGAGGATTGTCCTCAACTACATTAAAGTTAGCCATGTCACAGAGGAGTTAGATTTGTCTGTGTGTGCCCTTTGGTTGACAGAACTGAAACCAAAGTGTGGAAACGACAGGGAAGCAATTGCAACTCAATATAACAACTTTCTAACCATCAGTCTTACCCACTCTCTAAGGAAAAAAGCAGGCCCATCACTGCAGGAGCTCCAAGAAAGCAACCAGATACAAAAAGACAGAAATTGTATGATTCCTCTTATACAAAATATCTAAAACAGGCAAATTCACAGAGACTGAAAGTGGATTAGAATTTACCAAGGACTGGGGAGGGGGAAATGGGGACTTCTTCCTTACTGGGCACAGGGTTTCTCTTTGGAGCAATGAAAAGATCCTGGAATTGACAGCGATGAGAGCTGCACACACTGTAAACATAATTATTACCACTGAATCACATGCTTTAAGGGGCACATTTTTTAGTAATATATATTTTACCATAACTTTAAAGTGAAAGTGTTAGTTGCTTAGTCATGTCCGACTCTTTGTGACCCTATAGACAGTAGCTCCCCAGGCTCCTCTGTTTATGGGGTTCTCCAGGCAAGAATACTGGAATTGGTTGCCACTGCCTCCTCCAGGGGATCCTCCTGACCCAGAGACTGAACCTGTGTCTCCTACACTGCAGACAGATTCTTTACTGGCCAAGCCACCATATGACTGTGCTTAGTCACGCAGTCATGTCTGACTCTTTGCGACCCCATGGACTGTATGTAGCTTACCAGGCTCCTCTGTCAATGGAGGTTCTCCAGGTAAGAATACTGGACTGATCTTCCTAACCCAGGGATCGAACCAGGGTCTCCTGCATTGCAGCAGATTCTTTACCATCTGAGTCACCAGGGAAGCCCTTGAGGGAAGCCCTTTAAAAACTTACATAAAATAACTGCCTTTTCTTTGTGATTGGAGACTAATTATTAAATACTTTCCTAAACTCTTAAGGCATTAGATTAGACAATGCCTATACATGTAAAACTTGCATCTATGTAAACAGCTGGATGCATACACATTGTCACATGCCAAAACACAGATCTGTACCTGCCTCTGAGGAACTAGGCTGAAGTTCCATGTGCATTTATCTCATTGCCCAACATCAGCTTCTTTTATTCATGCAGATGTGCTTCGAAAGTCTAAGAGCTTTTAAACTTGCTGCAAATATGGTCTAGACTTTTCTCAGTGCATAAGTATATGTTTGACCTCTACTAACTATGTCTGCTTATCCCTTGAAAACTATTTTTCTGAGAAGCTAATCTCAATTATTATTATTTTTAATTTTATTGAAATATAGTTTATTAACAATGTAATTTTAGTTTTAAGTATACAGGAAAGTGATTCAGATATATATATATACATATCTGTTCTTTTCAGATTCTTTTCCATTATAGGTTATTATAAGACATTGAATATAGTTACCTATGCTATACAGTAGGAACTTGCTGCTGATTTTATATATTGTAGTATGTATATGTTAAACCCAAATTCCTACTGCATCCCTCCCCACATTTCCCCTTTAATAATCATAAGTTGTTACAATATGTCTGTAAGTCTATTTGTTGTGTAAAATAGTTCAAAATAGTTCATTTGTATCATTTTTAGATTACATATATAAGTGATATCATATAATATTTGTCTTTATTTGATTTACTTCACCTAGTATGATAATCTCTAGACCCCTCCATGTTACTACAAATGGCATCATTTCATTCTTTTCTATAGCTGAGTAATATAGAAGTAGGCCTTCTTCAATGAACAATGTGAAGAAATAGAGAAAAACAACAGAAGGGGAAAGATTAGAGATATCATCAAGAAAATTGGAGATATCAAAGGAATATCTAATCCAAAGAAGGGCACAATAAAGGACAGACTAAAGATGTAGTAGAAGCAGAAGATATCAAGAAGAGATGGAAAGAATAAACAGAAGAACTGTGCATAGAAGATCTTAATGACCCAGATAACTATGATAGTATGGTCACTCACCCAGAGCCAGACATTCTGGAATTTGAAGTCAAGTGGGCCTTAGGAAAGCAGTGCTACCAATAAAGCTAGTGGAGGTGATGGAATTCCAGCAGAGTTACTTAAAATTCTAAAAGATGATGCTATTAAAGTTATGCACTCAATATGTCAGCAAATCTGGAAATCCTAGCCATGGCCACAGGACTGTAAAAGTTCAATCTCCATCCCAATTCCCAAGAAGGGCAGTATTAAACAAGGTTCAAGCCAGACAACTGCACTCATGTCCCATGCTAGTAAGTTTATGCTCAAAATCCTTCAAGCTATGCTTCATCATTATGTGAACCAAGAACTTCAAGATTTTTAAACTGGGTTTAGAAAAGGCAGAGGAACCAGAGATCAAACTGCCAATATAGCCTGGATCATAGAGAAAGCAAAGGAATTCCAGAAAAACATCTACCTCTGTTTCATTGACTACACTAAAGCCTTTAACTGCGTGGATCACAACCAACTGTGGAAAACTCTTAAAGAAATGGGAATACCAGACCATCTTACCTGTCTCCTGAGAAATCTGTATGCTGGCCAAGAAGCAACAGAACCTTGTGTGTAGCAATTGAGTGGTTCAGGATTGAGAAAGGAGTCCAACAAGGCTGTTTGTTGTCATCTTGTTGATTTAACTTCTATGCAGAGCCCGTCATGAGAAATGCTGGCCAGGATGAGTTACCAGCTGGAATCAAGATTGCCAGAAGTATCAACAATCCCAGATACATGGATGACACCACTCCAATGGCAAAAAGCAAAGAGAAACTAAAGAACCTCTTGATGAGGGTGAAGGACAAGAGTGAAAAAGCTGGTTTAAAACTAAATATTAAATAAACTAAGATCCTAGCATGCAGCCCTATCACTTCATGGCAAATAGAAGAGGAAAAGGTAAGCAGTGACAGATTTCCTCTTCTTGGGCTCTAAAAAATCACTGCAGATGGTGACCGCAGCCATGAAATTAAAGATGATTGCTTCTTGACAGGAAAGCAATGAAAAACCTAGACAGTATGTTTAAAAGCAAAGACATCACTTTGCTGACAAAAGTCTGCATAGTCAAGTCTATGGTCTTTCCAATAGTCATGTACAGTTGAGAGTGCTGAGTGCCGAAGAAGTGATGCTTTTGAACTGTGGTTCGAAAGGCCCTTGGCCAGCAAGGAGATCAAGCCAGTCAATCTTGAAGTAAATCAACCCTGAATACTCATTGGAAGGACTGATACTTAGAAGCTGAAGCTCCAATACTTTGGCCACCTGATGTGAAGAGTCAACTCACTGGTAAAGACCCTGATGCTGGGAAAGACTGAAGGCAGGAGCACAAGAAGGTGACAGAGGATGAGATGGTTGGATGGTGTCACTGATGCTCTGAACATGATCTTGGGCAACCTCCAGAAGATGCTGAGGGACAGGGAAGCCTGGTGTGCTGCAGTCCATGGGGTCACAAAGAGTCGGACACAACCTGGCAATTAAACACACAATATTCCACTGTACATATGTACCATACTTTCTTTATGCATTCATCTCTCAGTGGACATTAGGTTGCTTCCACATCCTGACTACTGTAATAGTGCTGAACTATTTATATATTTTTTGATATATATATCAAAATGTAGATATATATCCATAAAAGTGTGGATATATATTTTTGAATTATACTTTTCTCTGTACATATGTCCAGGAGTGGGATCACTGGATCATATATGTAACTCTTATTTTTAGTCTGTTAGAGAACCTCCATACAGTTCTCCATAGGATCTATATGATTTACATTTCCATCAACAGTGTAGGAAGGTTCCATTCTCTCTACACCCTCTCCTGCATTTGTTGTTTACAGACTTTTTGATCATAGTGTTTCTGGCTGGTGAGAGATATGCCTCACTGTAGCTTTCATTAGCTTTTCTCTATAATTAGCAGTGTTGAGCATCTTGTCACATGCATGTTGGCCACCTGTATGTCTTCTCTGGAGAAATATCTATTCAGGACTTCTATCCATTTTTTGACTGGGTTGTTTCTGTTTTTGTTCTTTTGATATTGAATTGTGTGAGTTGTTTGTATAATTTGGAAATTCATCCCTTGTCAGATGCATTGTTCTAAATATTTTCTCCCAATCCATAGGCTGTGTTTCATTTTGAGGATGGTTTCCTTTCCTTCTTATTTACTAAGTCTCATGTTTTCTCTTTTGTTCATCCATAAACATAAAATATGAAAACACAAGTCTTTCACAAAACTCTGTCCATAAGTAAGGCTAGTACTTTCAACTTCAGCCTCTGTAGTCGGTACAGTATTGAAATACTTGCACACCCCTTGGGAAGTCACAATCCCTGATGCTCCTTGGCCCCCGACCCCTCTCCTGAGACCACCCTGAACCCCATACAGTGCAGAGCTAATGCTGGCATGGCAGGGGGTCTCCAGGACCCCACTCCACCCTGCTCTGTGTCTGTTGCTCCCACGCTACACCGCTTGTCCAATATTTTGAGTATCACCTCTGCTTATAACTTTTTATATATTAGCATCACAGGTGCTTTCTAAGATTGATTTCCTTTCTCAAAATCATTCCTTAATAAACACCTATTTTATGAGCCAGTTCTAATCATAATCATGAAGATAATGCAGTGTGGGCATAGAGCTGAGGGCAGGTTTGTGTCTAAGGGTGTAAATGGTAACACTCTCCTTAGTGTAAGAACCCTTGGCCCTGATATTTTGTAATCAGGTCTCAATCGCGGACTTGCTTTTCTCTGTGTGTTGACAGCTGCAACCCCTGGGCTGCAACATGATTAATGTTTCCAGTGATGAGCACGGGATCATTCCAGACTCCCTCAGAGAAACACTTTCCAAATGGAAACCGGAAGATTCAAAGGACCCTGAGAAAAACACCCCCAAGTTTCTTTACACGGTCCCAAACTGCAACAACCCTGCTAGGAACTCCTTAACAGCTGAGCGCAAAAGGGAAATCTATGAGGTATTTTCATAGAAGGTGTTACATACTTGTGTTCTTGTTTCTTTCTGACTCTTTAGAAGAGTGCTCTCAAGTTCCTTCTCTTATTAGCCCCTTGCTCTCAATGAAGATGGTTTTTAATAAAACGAAGTCATCTATGCCAGTGTTGCCACAAATTTAAACACAAGAATTTACTACAGTCTGGTTGACTACAGTATGTTTCTTTCCCCTTAATTGATATTTTTATTGAAAGAGATGCTATTCTTGGTGGGATGTTACACTCACCTCTTACACCCTTCTCTTGCTTCTGTCCTCTCCTCGTCCCCCACCTCCAGCCCATACAGTGGCTCCTACCACCCACGTTACCCAAACCCACCATCTCCTCGGCCACACTCCCTCCCTGACCGGTGCGCCCCTCAGAGTTGTCCACCCCGACCCCCACACCAGCCCTTGACATCCTTCCTCTCTAGCATGGACCTACAGTGCCTCCTCCAGCTGCTTCACCCCACATCGCAAACAGTATCAAAAGTCGTCCACCTGCTGCATGCAATGCTGGAACCTGGGCCTCTGTGTAAGGCTAGGGTCTCCCACATCCTTCCTGCTGCAGCCACACAGCCTTCCCTCTGTCCCTTAAACAGCCATGCCTTCTAGAAACTTCTGTCCCTAAAACACACCAAGGATTTTCTGACTCCAGGGCCATTGCTCCCTGCTCTCTCAGTCTAAACATCTTCTCCCCCAGCATCTGCACAACTGATCCTTCCGGTCAGCCTGAGCTCCCCTGGAGCTTCCCCGGCTCTCCTCTCAAACATCAGGCTCTTCAACCATCTGCTGGGCCCTCAGAACCTCCCACCTAATTCTCTTCTGGTCTATCTAGCTCCTCTATCTAGGAGCTCAGGTTCTGTCTTTACCACCAGAATGAAAGTTCTGTGAGGACAGAGCCTTCAGGGCTGTTCCTGTCCTCCTCCTAGGACAGCGGGGACTCAGAAGTTGCTGGGATGAATGAATGAGTACAAAGAACTCTGATTCCAAGTGATTTTCATCTTAGATAACTCTTAAGAAACAAATATGCTCCTTTAATCTTTTTATAGCTCGCAAGAAAATATGACTTCCTCATCATAGAAGATGATCCTTACTATTTCCTGCAGTTCAACAAGGTAAGTGATGGTGTGAACTCCACACACAATCTGATTCTAAGCTGGCTCCTGGGTGTCTTCATCTCTGGAGCCTTGCTCTTTTTCCAGAAATTCCCTACTTTTATAATAGTGACTGGCCCTCTGTGCCAGGCATGTGGAGGAACATGTGAGTCAAGGTGAGGGTCGCCTTGACTCCATAGACATGGTACCAGGGATGTGGAGTGGGTGTCTCCTGGGGTGTCAGCCTCAGTCTCTCAGGGGTGGCTGATGGGCTGGAGGACTTGGGAGCTGTGTTAATCATGTCTGCCTGCCACCCACCCTAAACACAACCATGGCCCCCTTCCCTGTGGGCATTTACTCTGAAATAAATGTGGAAGGTTCACCATTGCACGGTGACTATACGGCTCATCTTCATTTATACGTGTTTGTGTTTCTAGTTGTTCTAAGGGTCAGCATTCCCTTTCTAAACAGCCCTGCATACTGATGACCCTCTTCGTTGTGGTCTTTTCCAAACTAGTTTTCCTAGAATCCTTTCTGGAAAACTGTTCATCCTGGATCTCAAGCCTTGGGACAAGGAGGTCCTATGTGAAATTTCCCCACTCTCTGCACAAAGTAGGAAAACAGACTAACAGATATAAATACTGTATTTATCTTCCATTTCAAGCCCTGGACACCGACATTTCTCTCCATGGACGTGGATGGGCGTGTCATCTGAGCTGACTCTTTCTCCAAAGTCCTGTCCTCGGGGTAAGGCCCTGGCTCTGCCTTCAGGCTGCAGATAAAGGTGACAGGGGCTGCCCCTCAGCATGGTTAGTGCAGACAGTTCTCACTTAAGATGCTTGTATACACTCACCTTGACACATCAGTTTCATTGTTACTATTAGTAACAGAGTTTTCTCCTAATCCATCCCTAGCAGTCAAATTAAGTTATAGGTGTGTGTGTGGGGTGGGGTGGGGGGGGGGGGGGGGGGGAACGTCAGGTTTTTGGTTGCATGTATGAAAAAACACATTTAGAAATATATGGCCAGATATGATTCTATTTTAAGTGTACGATTAAATTTAAATGTGTATTTTAAATAAGAAGTAGTGTTACTAGAAGGTGTTAACTGTCTAGATTCCTTTGTCCCCAGGTTACAACACCCTTCCCCATGAAATCAGTAACATGATGTTACCTGATGTAGCGGGATTGGTAATATGCCTCTTCTGTCTCTGTGCAGGTTGAGAGTAGGGTTTATAACTGGTCCTAAGCCCTTGATTGAGAGAATTGTTTTACACATACAAGTGTCAACAATACACACCAGCACTTTTACTCAGGTAAGGGCAGCTTAGGAAACTGGAATGTTTAAAATCAGATCATAAAATGGATGCGGGCAAATAAGACAATGTGAAGGTGTCAGGGAGCGAAGCCACTGACTGCTTCTCTATTTCCCTATGGGCTGAATTAGAAGACCAGACACCACAGATGTTTGCTCCAAAAGGCAAAAGAGATTTAAATATACCTGAGTTGTTTCAAGGTGTAGAGCAAGCTCCTAGAGTCAGAGATCTTATTCATCTTGTGCCCTGGCATCTAGCACAGGAACCCCATAAAAACTCATCAGGACGGAAGAGGTTTGGTGAAGTAATACACCATTATTTCGAGAGGCCATGCAGGGCGGCAGTTATTGGATGGACCTGGGACTGGACGTTCTGACTTGAGTCCAGGATTTGTGACCAGCAATGATCATAGGAAATTTAACTTCACCTAATGCCTCAGTCTGTATATGAGTAGAGAGAAATAACGGCCTAATAAGGGTATTGCAAAGACCAACTTAGCTGAAATATATGGTACAGCAGTTTCTTGGGTATACCAAGGACCACATAAATATTTGTTATTTTCAATGTTATTGTTGTCACTGTTATTAAGCAACACTGTTATCAGTCACTGGCCCCATAAAGCTTGGTGCCGCTTATTGCATCTTCTTAGTGTGGTTTGTACATAATCAAGAGTGATTAGCTGTTACATTTGACAAAAAGTACATTTTAGACAATGAAACTTGTTACTGTCTCATGCCTTTTAGCTCATGGTATCACAACTTCTACATCAGTGGGGAGAAGAGGGCTTTCTGGCTCACGTCGACAGGTACTGTATTTTAGGTTCTAGTTTATATAGAAGTGGACTTCACTTGATTAATTTTCTGTTTTGAATTATTCCAAAATAATGGAAAAATCACAATGATACAAAGTTTACTGCCTGACAGGTCAAATATGCTCTATTCCCTCATCAAGTTTCAGCATTTTCATCAAGATACGAAATAGGTTCTTATAGGCTGGACTCCAGAGCCTTTTGGTTTCTGCAAGCAGTGTAGCAAACACATCTTTTTCATTGTTTTCTTCCTCTAGGGTTATTGATTTCTACCGGAAGCAGAGGGATGCATTACTGGCAGCAGCAGACAAGTGGTTAAGTGGTGAGTGGAACATACATCCTGTCCTGGGATGAGCAGTAGTCCTCGTATGAGTGAATGATACCACAGAGTATTGTTAATAACTCTGGGGAAGGAAACAGGGTCCAGGCCTATTCTGGTCAAGAAAATGTTACTCTAGGGCTTCCCTGGTGTGCAATGGTTAAGAATATGCCTTGCAATGCAGGGGACACCTGTTGAATCCCTGGTCTAGGAAGATCCCACATGCACCAGGTAACTAAGCCCAGGCACCACAACCATCAAACTGGCACTCTAGAGCGCATGCTCTGCAGCATGAGAAGCCCCCACAGTGAGAAGCCTGTGCACTGCAACTAGAATAGCCCCTGCTCACAACAAGCAGGGAGAGCCCACCCGCAGCAACAAAGATCCAACGCAAAAAAAAAAAAGAAAGAAAAAGACAAAGATCCAACGCAGTCAGAAATAAGTACTTTTTAAAAACAAAAATGGTACCCTATAAATAATGTCAGAAGTAACTGCCACAATTATAGCATTTCTACTATACCTGACGGCTGCACAGAATATGTGGTTTAAAGAAGAAAAGACCAATTAATCTAACAATCAACCAGCAATAACCTACTGAGAGCCAAATAATCTCTGAACTAAAAGGGTTTTCAAAATGTTGCTCCAGAGAGGTGAGGAATTGTGAAATCAATAACATAACCCTTTCCTGACTCTATAAAAACAAAATACTACAATCCTTGGCAGGTTTTTCATTACAGATAATTTGCCTTTTAATCATTAACCTCATTTATCTACTATCTAATCTTTTCTATTGCTAATTTGATTTCAGGATGGTTTAGATTTAATTTTCTATTAAGGAAGAAAGTAAAATGAATTTCATGGCTTTAATTACACCACTAAAAATGACTTTGGCAAAAATAACAGTAAATACACAGTGAAGTGAATGTGGATCAGTCCGATTCTATGAGGCCCCATGGACTGTAGCCCCCCAGGCTCCTCTGTCCAGGGGACTCTCCAGGCAAGAATGCCGGAGCGGGTAGACATTGCCTTCTTCAGGGATCTTTCCAACCCAGGGACCAACCCAGGTCTCCTGCACTGCTGGTGGGCTCTGCAGGACAGAGTCCCTGGGAAGCCCAGTACAAGGTGTCAACTCCTTATTCCATCACACCTTCTTCCCCATGAAGTCCTGGTAACAATACAATTGGTACTTTTTTATAAGAGTACTGTTTTATCACACTGTAAGGTTGAAAAAAGGTTTTAATCAACAGCAAGTTCTTTTTTTAAAATGGCAATAATTAAAATCAAAATAATTTTCTTCCTTCTTGGTTTCTCTATCCTTATATTTAATGAAACACAAAGCCTACAAATGCACACAGATTCCTTAATTTTAAGTATTTAATTTTAAGTATTATTTTTATAACTAATTACATTCTGATAAAAAATTCATTACACTTCTGAACAACTACATAAATAATAAGATTTACTGAAACACTAGTAAGATTCTAGAAGGAGTTGAGGAATCCTCTCCTACAATTTGAAAGAGGCATGTGTGTCTTAGGGACAGCTCTAAAGAAGACAGATGGCCATGACACAGGAGTTCCTGCATGGCCCTAAAACCCACTAAAATCCTAAAAATACATGAGTTCCCTTTCTCCCTTTCAAAACTTCCCCTCACTTTTTGAAATAAAACTCGGAACATCCATTTTCAGGACTCATAAAAATATATTTTTAAAAATTCTGTCACTGAAGGAACTTTTTTAGAAATGCTAGTTTACAGTTACTGTCATTTGTCATTTAAGTGATATAATGGACATCATGAAAACTGGACTCAGAAAATATTTCTTCTCTTCTTTTCTTTGTAGGTTTGGCAGAATGGCATGTTCCTACTGCTGGAATGTTTCTGTGGGTGAAAATTAAGGGCATTCGTGATGTAAGAAAACTGATTGAAGAAAAAGCCATTAAGAACAAGGTAAGACAGGAGGAAAAGCTAAACTTTTTCTGTAATTTCTTAATAAAAACTGTGAGATGTTTATCGTTGCCAACCAGCACAAGGCATAACACTTGCCTATCAGATGCGTTATCTCATTACTAAGGTCACAATGAACTTGGGTTACAGAGTCAGTCTCCTAACTGGGGAAACAGTCATTCAGCTCAGCTACTGGTCAGCTTAGTGGCTAAGAGCACAGTTTTGGGAGCCACAGTCCTTGGGTGTGAACTCCAGCTCCAGCCCTTCATGATATGTGGTGTTGAGTGAGGTTTCCTCCTTGAGTCTCATCTGAAAAAAGGAGATAACAGGAATCTCTCCCTCTTAGGATTGCTATGATGAAACGAGTCAACATGGAGAAAACTCCTAGACTAATGCCTGGCACATAGTAAATGCTTGATAAGTGTTAGCCATTAGTATTTAAAACAGAAGGGTTTTTTTCCTTATGAAAGTAAAGCATGCTCAGGGTGGCATTGTACTTCATTAAAGCATAATGTCACTTTTTAATTTTTATTTTATATTGAGGTATAGTTGATTTACAGTGCTGTGTTAGTTTCAGGCACACAGAAAATTGATTCAGCTATGCATATGCATATATTTATGCTTTTCAGATTCTTTTCCCATATAGGTTATTATAGGATACTGAGTCAGTTCCCTGTGCTATACAAGTATGTCCTTATTGATTATTTTACATATGGTAGTGTGCATATGTTAATTCCAAAACTCCTGATTTATCCTTTCTGCACACACCCCCAACATTTCCCCTTTGGTAAACTCTTCTAAATCTCTGAGTCTGTTTCCGTTTTGTAAATAAGTTCATATGTATCATATTTTTTAGATTCCACATACAGTTTAATCACATATTTGTTTTTCTCTGTGTGATTTCACTTAGTGTGATAATCTCCAGGTGTATCCACGCTGCAAATGGCATTATTATATTCATTTTTAGGGCTGAGTAATAGTGCCACAACTTCTTTATCCATTCCTCTGTTGATGGATATTTAGGTTGCTTCCACATCTTGACTACTGTCTATAGTGCTTCAGTGAAAAGAGAGGCGCATATAACTTTTTGAATTTTGGTTTTCTCCAGACATTTTCCCTGAAGTGGGACTGCTGAATCATACAGTAACTCTATTTTCAGTTTTTTAAGGAATCTAAATACTGTTCTCCATAGTGACTATACCAATTTACTTTCCCATCAACAGTGTAGGAGTGTCCCTTTTTCTCCACAGCCTCTCCACTATTTATTGTTAGTAAAATTTTTGATGATGGCCATTCTGAGCTGTGTGAGGTCATTCCTTATTGTAGTTCTGATTTTTCATTTCTCTAGTAATTAGTGATGTTAAGCATCTCTACATGTACTTTTTGGCCATTTGTATGTATTCTTTGCAGAAATGTCTATTTAGATCTTTATTCCATTTTTTTATTGGGTTGTTTGATCTTTCTGATACTGAATTCATGTGTTATTTATATATTTTGGAGATTAATCCCGTCAGTCACATTGTTTGAAAATATTTTC